ATTGCCCTTTGAGTGTTCTGGTTAGTTTTCAGTAATGCAGAATTAAATTAAATTAAAATTAATCTTAATTGGTTAACATCATACCTGTTTTGCACAACTTAGATTAGAAACCCTTTAAATAAATTTTCAAAATAAAAAATATTTAAAAAGAATTCAGTGTACCCTTCTGCTGATAACAATACAATTAAAGCATAATTAGTTGACCTTTGAAGATATTTTGCACGGCAGCACTGATTTGTGCAAAAGAAAAACCATTTAATCCGAGCACACAGTGTTCAGTAATACTTCTTAATACACTCCAAATAATGTACAGCATCCATTTTCACCATTTTCACTGTCCCCAATCACTCTTTGAGGTCTGCTTACTGAAAGTGACACATTAGCTTAAAAGTCTGGATCTTGACAAAAAAAGATGCTGTCAAACATCGCAGCCAAGACACACACATTTACAGCACATATAAACTCTCCACACACAGAAAAACAAACTAGTGTGCTCTTGCTCTCATTCTTTTTCTCTCTCAAGGCCTTTTCATTCTTCACGAGTCACCAACACACACATACGCTGGTTAAGACTCACACATACACACACACAAACAAACTCTCTCAGCTTCTTCCTCTCAATCTAGCCCTGTCAACAGCACTAGAGCCTGATACGCGTCCAGGGACAGAGGAAATGAGCGATGTCAACCAGTATTGTAATGCAGCAGAGCCGACCACATGAGAGGGGAAAACATCTACTGTGTTTTGTGCTCGTGGGAAATCAATCTCAACTCTTAATACGATGTTTTCAGGCTTGTGCTCATGTCTCAAAGAGGCCTAGAGAAGAATTACCTGTGTGTGTACGTGTGCATGTGCGCATGTACCTGTAATCCTACCACGTCTATGATGAAACCCATGCTCTGACTTGTCTGTAGGGTTATTTTCCTTCTACTGACACAAGGTTGACGAGCTGATGAAAGACCGAGACTGCATGGAAGCGTCCAATTATCCTGCTTAAGACAGTCTTATGCATACACAGTCCGTATTGTTCTCACCTGTTATTCAGCGAAAAGGCATGCATAAGATGATATTGCACAGCTAGAAGCATGACTCTGATCTCTCACCAGCCTTTATTTCTGCATTTTCAGGACAATGCACTAAAAAGCACTAATTTACTATCCGCTTCATGTACCTGAGTGATTGGAATCATTTGCATCATTGCCTCTTAACCACCTTTGTTATATGCTAAGATGATAGTGTCTGCAATTAACTGAGCGTGGTTAATAAAAAAAAGAAGAAGAAGACATTAAAGGAATGAAAAAGGGTGTGGGGGTTGTTTCCATGCAGCCATTTAAAATGTGAAAAATGTCACCACTGGGGCAAATTTTGCAACTTTAAGTTTTTTCAGCTCATGATTGGCTCCACAGTATTTAAGATTTGCAAAAACTTTTGGCACTATCCCAGAAGACTCAACTACCCAAAACAAAAAGCAGAACGCTCTTGAAGCTGGAATGAACTGCAGTAAAGTGCTCTCAGTGGGATTGCTGCTGACATAACAGGAAGTCATTGTTTCAGTGATTTAAGCAGCACTTTTTTTTTTATAATTATACATTGTAAACACTGAGAAAGACAAGCTGGTCCTAAACGTATGTGCACTCACTGGCCACTGTGTTAGGTAGACTGTAGTATTGAGCTGGACCCCTTTTTGCCTTTAGAGCTGCTTTAATTGTTCATGGCACAGATTCAGCAAGGTGCTGGAAACATTCCTCAGAGATTTTGGTCCATATTGACATGATAGCATCACACAGTTGCTGCAGATTTGTCAGCTGCACTTCCATGATGAGACTCTCCCATTACACCACATCCCTAAGGTGCTCTATTGGATTAAGATCTGGTGACTGTGGAGGCCATTTGAGTACAGGGAACTCGCTGTCATGTTCAAGAAACCAGTTTTAGATGATTTGAGCTTTGTGACACGGTGTGTTATCCTGCTGGAAGCAGCCTGCAGAAGATGGGTACACTGTGGTCGTGGACATGGTCGGTAACAAAACTCGGGTAGACTTAAAAATATGCTAGGTTGGTAGATCGTTGTTGCAGCAGATATTTAGACTCTTTCAGATCATTGGCTGACCGAAATGGCACTGTGTGCTCTTACAGATTTGCTTCAGGGACAGATATACTGTGCCTTCAGAGATGCTCTTCCACATAACTCTGTAACAGTCTGCAGTTATTGCAGTTATTTAAGTTACTGTTGCCTTGTTTCAGCTTGAAGCAGTCTGGCCATTCTTCTCCGACCTCTGGCATCAACGGGGCATTTTCACCCAGAGATCTAATTACTGCATATTTTCTCTTTTTAAGACAATTCTCCGTAAACACGAAAGATGGTTGTGTGGAAACATCTCAGAAGATCTATTTCTTAAGTACTCAGCCTAGCCCATCTGGTACCAACAACCATGACCATGTCTGCATGCCTGAATGGGTTGAGTTGCTCCATGTGATTGTCTGATTAGATCATTGCATTAACAAGAAGTGTATCAATAAAGTAGCTGTTGAGTGGATATATAATTATATGATCTTGTATGTATTTTACTGGTTGCTATACATGTTTCTTCTATACTGGCCATAAAGAAGAAATTGCTTAGAAAGCAGTTTTGGTACTGTATGAGATTTGTGCCAAAAAAACTGAACTACAAAGAGGCTATGGCACTCTGCCTTAGACACATCAGATGTTTTCTTACCAAATTACCGTTGTTTTAGCACAAAAATGTGGAGACTGTTTTCACCGCTGGCTGGGCTGGAGTAGAACAATAGCGGTACAAAGGGGCAAATTTGGTAACTCTGCTAGAATCACAGAGTCGTCAGATAAACTTCAGAGCAAATATTAGCACAGCATAAAGACTTGAGGTGATGCTCCTGTTTAGTTGATTTACAACTAAATTGCTTGTCATACTTTGTCCTAAATTCGACTTTCACAATACATTTTTAGGTATTTCAGATGGAATTGAAAGCGTATGAGATTTAAATGTACTGTATGTTAAAGGTGTGAGCTGTACTGTAATAGCCAGTTTTCTGTGTTGATTGTAAAAACAATTATTATTGTGTAGGATTGAATTAGATTTCACAGTTGTGCTTAATAAAGTGGCCACTACATTTCTAGTGCATGGATGTATGCAGACATATTGATTGTAAGTATTAAACACTCCAGTGAGAGATAAGGGTGCATATGCAGGAGTCAAAGGTGAGGCGAAAAAGAAACCCAGAGTGAATATCAGTCTGTACCTGTAGGCTCTTGCAAATGCAGCTGCTATTTACTGCTACAGTCTATGTGAGAAGAAAAATAAAAAGAGGTTTGTTTGCTTTGGCACTAAGTATGGGTACAGAAAATTAGCAGAAATGTGATGAGGGTTTACTGTCACAGACAAACCTCCTGGACTATTTTCACGGGCCTAATTAGAAACTAATAACGCCTCCATTCTGCTGCCAAAACAAACCCTTTTGCTGTGAAAGGGATGGGCTCCGTGTCTGACTCACGCTACCCCACCTCTGCTTTGTTTTCCGTTAATTCATGTTAATGCTGCATCTTGTGCTTTTCAGAAATTTGAGTAATGTGAAAGAGGAAGCGTATTCTCCTGAGACTTTTATTTTAACGAGATAATAGTGCCATCTCTGCGTCTGCATTTTCCACTTTTTGTGTCGCTTTGTTTTTTTCCACCAAGCTCCTAGATTGCTGCTTTTTATTGCATACATGAATTCCCTCTGTTACCTTCCTGCTCTGGAGGAATACACTTCATATTAGCCTTCTTTTCTTGACTTCATCATTAAATGCTGCAGAAGCGTACCTAAAAAAGCTTTCAAACTGACAAAAAGAAAACAGCTACTGCTGATAAAGTACCTAATGGTATTCTCCCATTTTGGCCCCCTTAATGGGGCACTTACCGGCTTAGTCACTCATTTTCTTCATGCAGAAATTTGCAAATTTGTTTTCATCCAGTCAAAATGACCCAAGTTACTACAGGAGCTGCTACTTCTGCCCCTCATATTTCCTAGTATCTTTGCTCTTATCAATTAACCTCATAGAGCTCTGTTGCACATTAGGATTAAAACATCTGTTACTGACAGAGGGGAGTCATGTGGTCTGCCATTTGTACCTCCACCCTCTTTTTACCTGGATAAATACTGTTGGGCGTGGCAAGTTACTCCTGACTTGCATCAGTGTCCTAGCAGGAGATGTAGTAAACAGGCTTTTTTCAACCCCTGAGGAGCTCTGTTTCAGAAAAAAAGCTGTATGAAATTCAAAATCAGTGGAGACTCGGACTGGAAATAACCCCTGCATTTAAGAATACAACTTACTGTGGTCGGGTGCTTGTTTTGGGTGTCAGTGAGACATGAAATAAAATTTTAAAAATGCATTTTTTTCACATTAAAAAGAAATGTACAAAGTTTACATATGCAGTAAGGCGACCATCTAACACAGGTCAGCACTTGTTGGTTACAAGTGTTGATTCTGATTCACTTTGTTTCTGGAGCCTTGTGTTCATATCAGTGCAGCTACTGTTTAATTTGTGCTGAAGTCAGCTTGAACTACAGTTGTGAATAATGCTGTAATGACGGACAGAGCTACGCATGAAACAAAGGAGCTGCAATGATGTGTCGTGTAAACACAAGCTTCTTTACTGTTGTTCTGAGCAGCCAGAATAGTCAGACACAAGGAAAAATACAGCTTTGCCTAAAGTAAGGGCTGAGACTTGATAATGGTTCAAATGGGGATAATAGTGCACACTTTGAGGCAATCTTTTCTTGAAGGCACTCATGTTGCTTGTCCACCAAGAAATAGCTGTATGAAAAACAGAAAAAGAGAGCTTGCTAGAGTTCTAATGTTAGGAAGGTTTGGGGGTCTGTGGGATTTTATCTCCTCGCTGCCTGCCAGTAACAGCTTTAATTACTCCTCTTGCGTCCTCATACTGATCACATAGCTGAAATGCTTTTCAAACACCGCTTATCCCCATTTCTCTCCTACTTAGGACCATCTTCAGTGATCAGCAATGACGATGACTCTGCCTCTCCTCTTCACCACGTCTCCAATGGCAGCAACACTCCTTCGTCATCGGAGATGGGCCCTGACGCAGTAATCATCGGCATGACCAAGATCCCAGTGATCGAAAACCCTCAATACTTCAGAAGCACAAACAGCCTGCTCAAGACTGACACATGTAAGTAAAAGAAAAATCTGACTTATCTTTAACGTGGACCCGGATTAACTCTGATTTAGAATCAAACTTTTATCAGTTGATTACAAGCTACTATATACATCCTTCCTCGCTGTCATGTCAGTGACCTTGGAGCTACTGCTGATAAAATCTGAGGGAAGAATGGGAAATAGAAAGTCTAATTATATGCATGTTTGTGTGTGGCTGTACCCCAGCATACGTTAGGGACACATTCATCAAGACTTCCATGGATGACTCATATACATACCAGAGCTAAAGAAACCAAATGATGCTAGACCTTATTAGCCAGTGGTTTAAATTGTTTAAACCAAGTGAAAATGAGAAAGTGACAAACCCGAAGTAGAAGCTAGAAGAAGAGCAGAGGGAGAGAGAAAGAGAGCCACAGACAAATAGACAGACAGAAAATGCACAAGGATATTGACCTGGTCCATCAACATGACATTATGATTATTGGCAAGTTATAAAAGCTTCTCCAGGATTTGGCCTTGTGTTGCAGTAAATTATGGACCCACGCATTTGTGTATGTGTGTGTGTGTGTTCATGTGTGCTCATTCTGTTGAGAGCAAGGTTTAGGTTGTATAATAATGGGGGACTGGAGGTCGACCTCTTCAGTCCTGCATTATAACTAAAAGACTGACTGGGATTTACAGCCAAATGACGAAGAATGAAAGCGCTTAGGATCAATGAAAGTCAATAACACACTGTGGTGTATGTGCATGTGCCTGCATGTGCATTTTTAATATATTACAGCCATTACAACTATTACACAGTGTGTGCCTTTGACTCACAGACAGCCTGCATAAATACTGAAAGTATCTGACCGATTATTTGGCACTCCGCCTTTTCAGACCGGTACAATAGCCTTTGATGGAGACAGTTTGGCAAAGTGGCACATGGTTGAATGCCAGGAACTGAACTCTTTTTAAAGAGAGGTCTTAACCATCCTGTAATATTGAATGCAGGAGGAATCAGTAGCAGGTACACGTCTCTGCTTAAATGATCGCGCAGGCCTCTTTCGCGCAGCAATAAAGCAACAATTACTCTGCTGAGATGATGGATCTACGTGTAATTATGGGAAATGTTAGTGTGCTGCAAAGCTTCGGTTGTGCAACTGTCTTTTTAAGTGAGCACCTCATTAAAAATAATGATATTAGCAGAGTTAGCATTGTTGGAAAGCAGGTCACAAACATTACAAAGAAGCTTCAGTAAAGCACACAGATATGAAAAGGTGGTAACTGTTGTGTTTATGTTTTGTTAATCACTCACATATACATAAATTTGGGTTTACAACTAAAATAGGTATAAGAGTATATGAGCATATTCTCCCACTACATTGACTATCATATCACACATTTCTTTCCACTAAACTTCTCTGGAGATTCAATTTGAAGATTCAAATTTCAGGAAAACCCTGTCAAAGTGTCATTCATTTTTTTTGGACCACTAAGACAGAAATTGCGCCATTCAGATAACCATGCACAAACTTGTTTTATTAAAGACCAATTGTGAATGGTTGAGACCCAGGCTGGAGTTTCTTGAAGGTGGCAACGATCTGTTGAGTTGGCTTCACTGAAAAGTGGCAGACTGACACGTTGTGGCAGACTGAGGAGACTAAGGCAAACTGGCAGTGAACCTGAGACACAGGGGCATACAGTTAAACATGGTTTCAAACAAGATCAAGAGAATACAAAACTAGACATGTGTTGCTACCAGGTTGGAAAAACTCTGGCAGGGACTGGAGCATAGAGTCAGTCATATGGGCTGAAGGGCTTCATAGGAGAGTGGATCACAGGTGCAACTGAGGAAAGAAGTGTGAACAGGATGCTGAGCCATGCCAAGACAAAGAGAGAGAACAAACAGGGGAGACTACAAGATACACAAAGAATGAGAGAGAGGTACACTCTAGACCATGGCAGCAAAGATTGTTTGAAATTTCAGGAATAATTGAACACTGATTCAGGCAGGCCAGGAGCCAAAACTCAGTCTGCAAAACCCAGTAAATCAGCCAAATCAACTGATTGCTAGTAGTGGTTTCCCTGAAAGTATACACATGGCAAGGCAGGGGATCCAAGAACAGAGTCATGCTGCCGCATATTAAAGATTGATGATAAATATGAAGGTGGTGTGAGTTCACTGTTAGCTTGCATTAGCATAAAAAATAGGAAACAGCTAGACTGGCTGCACCCCCCCCCCCCCCCCCCCCCCCCCAAAAAAAAACAAAAACAAAAAAAAAACTGTCACAGTATATAAAATACATATAATTTATGGAATTTATGGTGAGCTTTAATAATTGATAAATAATCCAAAAATCAACACAATTCAATGAAGGAAGAAAAAACAACTGAGATAGAGGAGAACATAAATGTTGTGACAAATACTAAGGGGAAGGATAGGACTATTTATACACTAAGGGATGCTTTGGGTGCATTTAATCAATACAGGTAAGGACAGACAGGGAGGAAGAGAAAAGTAGAGCAGGTAATGGATAGTAACAAAAATACTAAAAAAAAAAAAAGTAGACACTAAAACATGGAAGAAATCTAAGTATGTAGCGGAAAAAAAAAAACTCACTTCTCTTTAACATGGACCCCAATCAACTCTGATGTAGAACTAAAGATTTATCAGTTGATTACAAGCTATAAAATAAATTTCTTCTTGCTCTCATGTGAATGACCTTGAAGCTGCTGCCGTAAGATCTGATGGGAGAATGGGAAAATAGAAAGTGTAGGTTTGTGTGTGACTGTGTCCCAGCATATGTTAAGCCACTCATAAATTCAAGACTTTCGTGGATGACTCATACACATACCAGAGCTAAAAGAAGCAAATCATGCTAGAGCTCATGAGCCACTTGTGGCTGATTCAGTTTTTTTGATTGCAAAGGCTAAAGACAACACGCAATAGACTAAGTGAGGTAAAAGGTCAAATGCTGTGGCAAAGATTATGGGGATGACAGGGCTATTTATACACCAAGGGATGATTTGGGTGTATGTAATCAATACAGGTGGTAACAGTTAGACAAGCAGGAAGAAAACACAAATAAAGCCACAAGAGAAAAGTGAAGCAGGAAATAAACAACAAGATTAAAACAAGCTTAGCTTATTCAGGGGCAACTATGGGAACTCGTTTCTGCCACTGGACAAAAAACCCAAAAACCAAAAGCCCTTCCATATGTCAAAATTTAGGGTTAGGCCTCTAAATTTTGAGAAAATAACTTCAAATATCAAGTTATTAAGTTGACATTTTTATATAATTAAAAATGCTGACTATAGAGAGCAACCATGTATAATGACACTGACAAATCAGAGAGGAAAGAGAAGGCAGAGAATCTAACAAAAGACATTAAGAAAAACAAATAAAGGCAGGAACGGTAGTTAAGGCTCAAAATCCCAGAAACATAATCATCACTAGAATGACAAATCAAAACAAGAATCAGAATACAAAAATATAATAATAATAAACTCTGAAGCTAAAAACCATGAATATAAAGCAACAAATGACAACCAAGCAGGGACCCCAAAACTCATATTAGCTATATAAAACCTCAAAACAACACAAAACCCCAGGACCAAGGCAGAAACACGTGCCCACCAGCACCTGCAAAACTCAATAATGTACATTTATACAAAAACTGAAATGTTAATGACTGTAAATGAGAGGCAGAGGACTGGCTGCTAGTTATTTTACCATTTTTTGCCTTTGTGCAGCTAAGCTAAGCTGACTGAGCTCTTGCTGGATCCAACTATATGTGTAGGGTCACATATAGGGTCATGTAGGCTCATGTAGGGTCACAATAGTAAAATCATAAACACCAAAAGTGTCTAAGCTTTTCATTGTAGTGTTTAAGCTCAAATAGAGATTTTAGAGGACTTGTTATTAATATCTGCAGTAGCAGTGTTGAAAAAGTGATTTTTCTTTCATCATCTTTCTTACATCATCCTCTTGGCTTTGTGTTCAGTACCTCTCAATTCTTCCACTGCTTCTATACGAGTTGGTCTTTTGGGCTTTGTATTTTTTTGTATCCAGGGAATGGGGATTAACTTCACTCTGGAAAATGTTATTCACAAGTCAACACGTGCTGACTGTATTTGAAGACACCGGTTTACAAAAAAACATATGTGCACGCAGGCACACACACACAGGCTGACGCACAAAATTTAGGTCACAATTAGCTACGCTTGCTGATAGGAGGGCGCAGAGTCAGGAAAAATCAGTGCCATGACATTACTGAAGAACGTTTGACATTTCTGGTTGTCCTCTTCTCAAAGCATCTGTCAAACACGACTGTGTCTTTGACTTATCCTGTTGCTCAGTTCAAAGTACCGAACTCAGTTTTTCCAAGCTGTTCAAGCTGTTTTATGTCTGCATTCAACGCAATGGAAAGAATTTGGGAAGATGAGACGAAGAAGAACGGAATATGAAACAGATGGCAAACGGAGAATAATTATGTCCCCAGACATTAATTTATTTGGGAGTTCATAAGATGCTGATGAAGGATAGGTGTGATGGGACTCTAAATGATGTGGTGGAAAAATGAAGGCAGGAGGGCAAAAAAGGTGGAAGATGAGGGGGTCGATGGGAAATATTATTCTTCTTGATGTTAATATTGTAAACCCTGTCATAAACAGTTAATGGAAAAAAACTAATGGAGCAACAGAACGGGGGAAGAACCTGTGCCTGGATGTTAATACTTAGAGGATGCTGATTAAAAACTGATAGGTTTAGCAGCCGAGAGGAACAGCAACAGGGAGAGATAAATGGTGAAACAGAGGAACGCTAAATAAGGAAAGTGAGAGTAAGATAATGAGAATAGATGGAAGAATGCAAATGAGGGAAAATGAGTGAATATGATAAGCATGGAAAACGGGTACTAATTAGGAAAAACATCAGAGAGTAAGTGTGTTAAGTCTGGTAAATGAGGAATTATATTTTAGTAGATCTTAATTAAGGATACTGATTGAGGAGAAGGGGTGTGATATGTCGCACGGCATGTGGAGACACAGTGTAACAATGAAAGTGAGGTGGAAGACAGATTGTAAACTTGGCAAAAGGAAAGCAGCTGCAAAGCACAATTATTTAATGACTGAAATACGGCCATTAGAAATAAAAGGACTTATTCTTTTACGCTCTTGATAGACAATAAATGCTAATGCTTGAATACATGCAAAATAGATGCGACGACACTGGAAATCTAACCAAAAAAGACACAAAAAAGAAAATTGCAGGAAAAGGTTGTGCGAATAACCACATCTTCCTGCCAAAGACTAAAGAAAAGAAAGGAGGGGGAAAAAGCGGTACGGGAAGCACTGGTCTGCAAACATCAATTTATTTGCTATTTGAGGATGTTAATTAAGGAGAAGTGGTGCAAGGCATTTTCATGGATGAATGCTTATTAGACAACTGCAGTAGGAAAATAGTGCGGTGAGGTAATTAGCTGGTTAAATGGTGGGTAGCTTTCTTGTGGGGATGTGAGTTTATTGTGCGCCGTTGTTGCAAAGGGAATTGTGGTGATCAGCGACATGTTGGTTTTTTTATTTGAGATGAAGACTCAATTTTAGGAGAAATAGATGATAAAATAATTAGTAAATGATGAAACAATTTACAAATATTCTTGACTTTTATTCATGCTGATACCTCAGGATTATGTATTCAGGTTTAGAAGGTAGAAGTTATTCACATGCTGCTGATTTGCAAAAACGAAAAAGATCCGCAGCGTCACTTTTTCATCATGTAAACACATATTCAGATGCTTACAGGACTTATTTGATAAAACCATCCTAAACTATAAGCTGATGGGGTTTAGGCCCTTGCCATCTGAGTAAAATATTAAAAGGTGAACTGTGTCTGCAGTACAATGCATGACTTGTTTGTTTTGAAATGAAAATCTTTCCCCAAACATGACCATGATACTTTTGCTGGGTAACCACACAGCACATGGAAGAAAGAACTTCCTTATGTGGACTTTGTTGCTCTTTCAAACAGCATCGCTAGCTCTTGGCATCGAAGATTGCTGCAAGCCACCAATACGGAAGGACACCCAGTGTGTATCCCTGTGTAAGGCACTGGTTTCTGACAGAAGCCTGTATTTGAGGCCCGGGGACAAGAAAACGTCTATTTAGTGTATCATAGAATCTGCATCTGGAGTACTTTCCACCATCCTAACAGAAAGCCCAGTATGTTGTTTTTTCTTTTTTTCATTGACCGATAGAAGCTCACAGAAATCTTCCACACACAAGCTATCAAAATAAAAGAGAGGTTGTAGTATAGAAAACACACTGTCCTCCTTAAACCACCCACATTTTCTTTTTGTTCATTTTAGGGGGTTTTTTGAACGCAGGACAGATGGGACTGAACGATCTGCAGTCTTTTTAATTAAAATGTTTTAATTCATTTTCTTATTTGACGTTTCCTTCCCATTAATTCACAAAGGTTACAAATGAAGGCCAAGACGGGATTTGACGGAGACAATATGCAGCCTATCACGTATCATAACAAGAATTTATGAGTGTATAAATGCCTTAAGCAAAACAAAAATATCATATGGTCTTGACCTCATATTTAATGCTTTTGAATATCTGATGCAGACCAGCTGTGTGTTTCTCTTTTCTCCGTAGGTCTGCAGTTACAGTATTGGGTTAGGATGGACCTCAGTAGCTTACAGTGTCGATCGATGCAGCTTCTTCAGAGAGTCTAGCTGAGCTTTAATGTGATATTCTGAGTGGACAGCTTTTCTTCAAATGCACCTCTTAATCACATCACACATAAATCTCAGCTCTTGGTGTGTGTGTGTGTGTGTGTGTGTGTGTGTGTGTGTGTGTGTGTGTGTGTGTGTGTGTGTGTGTGTGTGTGTCTAAAAGCGTGTGTGTATGTATGCATTTGTATTCAGGACCTAAACGAGCACAGGTATTACAGGATAACGTGTTTCTCTGCATGCAGACAGACATGGAGCACATTTGGCTGGCGATCAAAAGATGGGGTTTAACTAGGTTATTGTAAGGTCACGAGGCTGTTAATCATTCTGCATGATAAAACCTTGTACAATAACCGGCGAGATGCCAATTTTTTTATTTTCTATTTTTATTTTTTTTTTGAGAAATCAGCTGGCGTGGATTCGCGAGTTACTTAGCAACAGAGAGCAGAGTTGTCGACTCTGATCCAACTGTGGATGAGCAGAAGGCAGGAAGAGGTTAGATGCATGAAGCAAGCAGAGAGACACGTTTTTCAAATTTACATTACTGTAAAAACTGTGTTGAAGTCGTAGAAGACAAAAAAGAAGGAATTTGCTTATTTACTTTTGCATTTATTTGATACATAAATCAAGACATAAAATATGTATGCAGTAGAAAATGATCCCCAGATATACAGTAGATACAGTTATGAGCCTTTTTTTGGCTTTGAAATGAAAGTAGATGAGGGATGAACAGTAGAGGAATGTATCTGCATGTGGATTGTGAGTGACAGAAACCATTTATTTTAACATCATTTTCCCTTTAGAAAAACCATGGGGGTTAACATGCCCTGCAGCTGTGCTTTTTGTTCAAAAAGGAGGAAAATCCACAGCTTCGGATTAACAGGGATAAATTGTTATAAGAGTAAAGGTTATTTTATAAGAAAACTGACAAGTTTCAGTTGATACTCCAATGTGATACTCCAAACACAAGGTCCAGAAAACAAGAAGCAACTGGGCATTTTAGAGAAGAGTAAAAATAGATTCAATTGCTCTTGTAAATACTGGCTACTTACTGGGTAATAGTGCTGAAAGAAAGTCGGTGACGAGAACATTGCTCTTACAGTGTAATTACAGACTAATAAGTAAAGAAAAGCCACACTTTATATTACAGACCTCATGCCTCATCAAGGCTGTGTGTTATGCGCTCTGTACTTTTACTCATTAACAGACGTTACTGCAGCGTGTGGGAGAAAATACAATTTAAAAGAAGGGAGGTTTATTACAACGACGCTGTGTGGATTTATTACCACGTGTCTTCATGTGTGATAGGAGAAAATGTTTGGATGATAGTTTTTGAACTACAGCAACTCATAGTGGGCGCACTGCAAATATACCGCTCTCAAGCACAACTACGCTAGGTCGCAATTGTTATCCAAGGTGACAAAGTCATGCTATCATGTGACTTCTAGAACTATGGAGCTAATTGTTTATGTCTGATAAGATGTTTATTTTCTTTAAGGACAGAGCAAGAATAATAGTTTTGCCACATATGCACTACAAAGATGCTATATTACCACATGCTATCAAGTCAACATTCAAATGTCTTCTTTTTGTGTAAAATCAGATGTCTTATGATGCAGTTTTCTCTTCTTTGAGTGAAATCAAACACCACAAAACAAATGACACCAGACTGACTCACTGCATGAGCTGAAGTCATTAAAGTATAAATGGCGTGCGATCAAAGCATCAATCCTGCTTTCCATCATCACTTCCAGCTCCTTGTTTTTATTTGTGTACTTCAGCTTGATTTACAGTTGATCTTTTTCTGGGCCGAACAAGCACTTTTGGCTTGTTTTTCCCTCCCATTATGCCAGCTTTCTTCTTATTGGCTGCCCATCACAAACAGAAGGTTTAAGCAGCAGGTTGGTGGGCTGTGAGCTAAGATTAGAAAAGCTCCCTAAAACTGAGCATTTGGGGCAATAGAAAAGAAACGAAGAAAAAAGATTACCCCCCTCCCCAATTTATATGCATGTTTGTAACTTGTACTAAAAAGTTTTCCTCTTCATCTTCTCATTCTACAGTTGTCCAGCATATTAAAAGACATAACATTGTGCTGAAGAGAGAGCTGGGAGAGGGAGCCTTTGGGAAAGTCTTCCTGGCTGAGTGTTATAACCTTTCACCTGACCAGGAGAAGATACTGGTGGCCGTCAAGGTAATGTTGAAGTCCTAAAATTCCTAAGAAACATATTTATAAATCAGAGAATTAGACTAATTAATTTCATATTGATTCCAGTTTCTGAAAACACAAACTTCTTTTTGCAGCTTTTATAACTCAAAGCCCAGAAATGTAAATAAAATGTATCCTGTGTGCAGTAAAACAAACGGGTCAAGTTTCAACGTGAGATATTTTTAAATTCCTTTGGTCCTACAGAACAATTGATCATGTCAAAATAAAGCTCCTAAATGGCATTATTGAAGGTGAAATTATTATTTTTCTATTCCACAGTATCAGAATTGACATCTGATACATGAAATACATTGAAAATATTGAACTGGTTCCTGAAATAGATCCATGGTATTTTGAAATAAAATCCCTCACATGGCGTCAGCACGGTATTGAGAATCCATGTTGGCCTCCATTTACTGTGCTATTGTTAGAAAGTCCCTCTTTTCATGGGTTTCTCTGCAAGAATAAGGTGGAATTACACTCAAAAACCGCTGACTTCCGGGGTCAAATTGAATGGTTTCCTAGGGAGCATCGCATCTATGTGTCCATCAGTCTCTCCATCTAGGATTCTTTTTCTGCTGTTCTGCAGAGAAACAGGATCTGAACGGTGAAGAACTTCTCATTAACTATACATGACCTGTGAAAGAGCCCCCTCTGCCCCTCACTTCCTCTGTCCTCCACACCTCCAGCTCTCACCTGCAGTCTTTTATTTTCTCTCTCCTCAGTCGTCATCCTGACGCTTGCCTCTTCTCAAATCCTACACCTTCGTTTCTCTTCCTACATTTCCTGTTTGCTCGCGGCTTAGCCCTGAACCACCTGCTGATGTATGCTGCCAGCTTAGCGTCGGTTTAGACTGAACACACTTCAAAACACGGACCTGGAAATCATGGACAGCAGCACAGTTCTTGGTTGTAGAACACGATGCTTCATTTTGCTGGCTGCATGTCAAATCTGGTTAAATGTAGGGGAAAAAATGAACAATTCTCAGATTTCCACGTATGCAGGTACACCATTGAATGTTCTTTTTAAATGACAGCAGATTTGTTTTTAATTAACTAATTGACGACCTGCATACGTCAGCGTCAGTGATCCTGCTGCCAATACACTGCAATAACACAAAGTGCTGAAGGGTGATGAAAAGAGACTTTCAACAGTACTAGCTCCATCCATCCATCCATCCATCCATCCATCCATCCATCCATTGTTGTACATATACATATCGCATAACTTGAAACTAAAATAAAAAAACAGTCTCGTGAAGGGGATGCTTAGAGTGTAGAAATCCAAATAAAGATCATTTCTGTTTGCAAATAAATATGTTGTCACTTCTTACCAGCTGCTTTTAATTAAAAGAAGGAGACATCAAATTAATGCAGACTATTCCTCGAGGTTTTCTAGGCAAATCAAATCCCACGAGATGTTTGAACACTCAGGAGGATACACACATCTGATCTGATCACTTGAAAACAAGAGTGCTGAGAATCTGTTGTAATGACAGGATTTTAGAAACAAATTTGATTTGCCTGTGAGAGTTGTCAGTGTATTTAATTCAATCCCTGGCCAAAAATTATGGAATCGCTACAGTTTGATGAAGTTCATTCAGCTTTTTCCTGCTTTTTTCTTTAAACTTTCTTAGAAATAAGCAACTCATCTGTCATTCTATGTTGTCTATATATTTGCTACAGATTTTATACAAGGCGTCGTATAATCCTTTCCATTGTTTGAGTAGACACCTCTCTTGTTGGGGGCCATGCTTCCTTTCAGTCAGCCAGGTGTAGCAGCAGCTTGTTAAGGTCCTCAAACTCTTTCTTTTAACTGCAGACTATTTTGCATATTTAAATTTGCACAGGTATTTGTTTTAGAAATGCAAATTGCAAGGAGTTTCAATACTTCTTTCCTCAACACTCAGTGATTTCATCCTGCAAATGTGGTGATTCCATCATTTAACAGCTATAATTATTGTGTCCTGTAATTCCACTGTACAGAATAAAGGGGAAAGGACATGGATTATGAGGAATGCACTTTCTTTATGATAAACCACGCCATGCTTATATTGCTCTCTGTGAGTCATGCTACATTACAGGTACAGGTTCTCATTTGTATACCACATTACAATGACCTACACACACTAATAGAGCTTAATGGGCCTGGATTTTAGGGTTGTCTATCAATCAATCCGTCATCCATAATACAGAAGCAAGTTTTACTGTTACTGTATATTAAACACTGAGTTGCCATCGATCAGAGGATAATTGTAACAAGTGCACATAAAAACAATATGCATATGCACATGCACGCAGGCAAACTCATGCAAACACATTTACGCTCCTGCATCCCATCAGTCATGAACTTCGAGCACTTTCAATAATGTTCTCTTCACGCATGTATATGACTCACCACATTTGTGAGCTGGAGGTTGTTGATTGCTTTTTATTTGTCCATGGACCTGAATGTGCTCAGACTGGATGACTAACAGTGCAGTGTTATGAGTTTCAGCATGGGAATTAATGCAGCTTTCAGTACAGAAAGTCACACTGTGATTTGTAATACTCCCAGGCTCACAGGAAAGTCAGTATTTTTCCTAAACTCAACATTAATATGTTTGGCTCAATACAATGATTAATACTGGTCGCAGTGGTCATTTGATACTGATTGAGACCAGCGGTGCAGTGAATAACATTTCTTTTTCCTCTTTAAGTTCATTTTTCTTTTTCTTTTCTCTTTTTTTAAGGAGCACACAGTACAGTACATCATAGATTAGACTTCAGGGAGTCATTGTCAGTCAAACTGGGATAATGAGGAAAATTGTCCATGTTTTATGAGCATCTCTTAAGAAGTCACTTTTTGCAAAGAAATTGTAAAAGCTTCATTATAAGTTAATAGATCATTACAGATAAGTTCTAAACCATGCTAAGAACAAAGTCTGGGCTTTCAGCATCATATTCATCGCCTCTTATTACCTCCTGCTGGTTTCTTTCAGAGTGAGGAACAGCTGTGTTTATTTGTGGCTTTCAAACATTCAGAACTGCACTGATATGAAAAACCACACCAATAAAAATAACTGGAAACCTCAAAGCTGGTTTTAATAGCTTTTCATTGACCTACACAGCGTCAGTCTTCTTTTTTAGCCATTATTAATTCTATTAATTACGAACAATAAACTGATAACATTAAATATAACAGTGAAAGGTCCTGCAAAGACATCTGAGGAAAGTCAGTCAACTCACATATCCTATGCATATTCTCAAGTTACATGGTGAGACAGGGGCACAGGCATTCATATACACTATCTATACTGTAATAATCATCTTCTTGCAGTATCACCTTGCAGTCTGCAGTGTACTCGACCATGCCTCTGTTTCACAGTACATTATTGGTTGAATGTAAGTGCTTAAGGTTGAAGTCTGTCTAATATTCTTCCATTTTAGTGCTTTTGATGAAAGGTCAGAGGTCATCTCATTCTGCTTTTTCTAAGTCAGTGCTCCTGTAGATCTGTATTTGTAGTCGGAGGTTCTACCTGCAATGTGTGTGCATAGGCACACTCGCCACTCGCCACACGCTCACACCTCATGTATATCTCTATCATATACTGTAGGAAGACAATCAATTATTCATGTAGGACAAGAGAAACTTTTCTATATTTTTCTTCTTATATGTGAAATTAATACACACCCCGTATCACTTTCATTTCCTGTAACTCGCCTCCAAACACACACACAGTCATTCACTTTCACTTCACATACACTCTCTGTCATGGATGCTTGTATTACACAAGCTCCCTGACAGATTTCCTGATTCATGGAAGGGAGACAAAGATTAGTTTCAAAGGGAACAGGGAAACATAATGAATGTAAACAGTGCTGTACTTTGTAATGGCTAGCATTTATTTAAAATGTCTCCATCCTTTTCCTGCTCTGCTGTCATATCGGTCCTTGTTTGGTGCCAGTAATTTCACACTGTTTGTGCCGTGTTGCTGTAACTCACTTTTATATGCACTTTTGTATTGTTTTTTTCACACAGTGGACGTCAGCCAAATAAATTGGAGGAGAATGAATCCACTATGAAAATGACCAATTGGCAGAAGTGTATGTGGTATAATGTGTGAGGTTTTGATTTGTCACTTTATTAAAATGTCACTTGTGTGTGTGCGTGTGTGTGTGTGTGTGTGCAGACACTTAAAGAGGCCAGCGAAAATGCCAGGAAGGATTTCCATCGTGAGGCTGAGCTGCTGACGAACCTTCAGCATGAGCATATTGTCACTTTCTACGGAGTGTGCGTGGAGAGCGACCCGCTCATTATGGTGTTTGAGTACATGAAACACGGTGACCTCAACAAGTTCCTCAGGCATGACTCTCTTCTTCAATATGTAAAATGGCAAAATTTTAAATGTGTTTTTCTCTAAAGAGTTTCTATGAAAAATGAGCGATCAAAGAATTAAAGATTAGGAAGCTTGCGTGTGCTAATCCAGCTTAATCTTCTACATACTCTCTATTAGAGGGACACATGTAAACATCGTACGTGGTTGATACATGGCTGAAAAGACAAATGATACATTGTTTCCCTTGTTTTTTTCTCACAGGGCTCATGGTCCAGATGCAGTTTTGATGGCAGAGGGCCAGACCACCAGACCTGTGGAGCTGACCCAGTCTCAAATGCTTCACATTGCCCAGCAGATAGCATCTGGCATGGTCTACCTGGCATCACAACACTTTGTGCACCGTGACCTGGCCACAAGGTTTGTAAAATACTCTGTTAATGCACATCGTGTTTGCTTGTTCCTAACAGATGCCAGATGTGTCATTAAACAGGAACTTTTATTCTGATCCTTGAGGAATTTATTTAAAACTCATAATGACTGAGTACGAACAATCGCTAATACCACCTAAAAACATCTAACAAGGAGGACTGTAGCTATTAGCGGAACCAGTAAATAATCAGCTAGAGATAATCAGTAAAACAGTCATGGTAATAACCATATAATAAGATATATGGTTGTAGTTTAACACCCTTCATTTTAACTCAGCAATGTGAAACATCTTTATTGAGTCTCACTGTGTTTGTTGTCCAAAAGGAACTGCCTGGTGGGTGAGAACCTGCTGGTAAAGATTGGAGACTTTGGCATGTCAAGAGATGTCTACAGCACTGACTACTACAGGGTAGGTGTATGTGTCGATATCTTTTCAGGCCTTTCTTTCAGCCTCCCCTCCCTCCCTGCTGCATGGGTGCCTCTCTGCTACTCCCCTGCATGGGCATGACTGATGGACGTGGGGGTTTGAGTAAGACACTCGCAGGGATAGGTTAACTCAACAGAAGGAGTTGGAAATGGTTAGCATGTTTGATTAGGTGAGTTCGTGGGGTGTTACATTTGCTTTAAGTAACTAAAAAGTACAGGTGAAAGGAATGCATTTAAAAAGATCCATGTTCAGTGTTTTTGAGCATTTTTGTGTACTGCAGGGATATTTAGCAGCTTTTCTTGCTGTGCTTGGATAACTCAGGGGTACAAAACAAAACTGAAAGTGTGTGTTTTTCTTTCTGCAGATAATCTGTTACTTTTCCAAAAGGCCAAAATCTAATCAGTTGTATTGATTGATAGGTAGTTGGACTGTCCATTTTTCCTGCCCTTTCTCTCATTCTCTCTGACAAACCGACACAACTGACAATGACAGAGTAGGAGAGAGAAAGAGGTAGAAGACTGCAGGCATTCAATGGCTAGACAATCGTTTAAAAATTCAGAAAGATAATAATATACAACTGATGGATGTATCATTCAGTGACGGTAATTTTGCAGTAATAATTTATCTTGAACAGAAATGCTCATTGTAGTTATGAAAATCTATATTTCTAACTTGCTGGGAAAGAGAGTTGTCCTTGCAGTTTGTTCTCCTTTCACACGTTCCACATGCATAATTACACATATGTACTTTGGTATAAATTGTAATGTATATGCACTGTATTGGCATGCTGATATAAGAAAACACAAGATATTTTTTTCCTGTTTGTCATTAAAAATATTAAAATTGTCTGCAACTACTGGGGCTAAAAAAAAATGAAGTCAAGTTAGAAGTGCCAGAAACTGCAGTTCCTTTAGTGGCCACTTGAGGCTGCCCACATTAATAGAACAGAATAGAATAGAATTCAACTTTATTGTCATTGCACATGCACAGGTACAGGGCAATGAAATGCAGTTTGCATCAAACTGCATTTGTCTGTTACCTATTTTCCCATCTGTATGATGATTTCTTTTTTTACAAAGTGCTCTACAAACTGAGATATTGGCTCTCTTACGAGTTAGCAAACATAAACTAATGTAAATCAATTAGCTGCAACCAACGTCTCGTTCTGTACTGGCACAAGATGGTGCTAACCATGTTATAAAAATTGTAACTTTAAACATGTATTAAATCCAGCTTCGAATTCATTGATAAATCCGTGTCAGTTTTAGGGAATATGGCTAAATTTGAAAGGCTTGTGTGACTGACTGATTTGCCAGCAAAGGCACAAAGTGCTGTGCACAAAAAGAGTAATATAAATAAGAAGATTAAGTGCCATAACAGCAAATAACACAACCTGTTTATTTCATTGTGTCTTGCACAATAAAATAAACAGGTTCTTTGATTATGTATGGAGAACCACTAAAAAAAATGTGAGCGTAAGTATGAAAATGGTCATTTTCAGAATCAGAATCAGAATACTTTATTGATCCCTGGGGGAAATTATTATTTTTAAACAGTTAGTGCAATGCTTTTGGTAAATTACTTGAATTAAGGGTAAAACTGCAGTATTATTATCCAAATGTTTATGAGCCTTGCTATATCTGTGTCTGTGGATTGAAGCTGTACGCTTTATGAGTATAACTTACTAACCAAGCTTGCTACATTCAAAATATGTTCCTTTTCTGAAGGCTTCCTGCCCATCCTTTATATACAGTCTGTGATTTCCTCACAGAAAGCTTCTGATACCCCACAAAACTATAAATGCCACGTTGCCTGAATGAATCTTTTTTAAAAGAACATAAAAAAATGCTATTTTTTCGAGGTCTTTGATAATGACTGTTGACATAAAATCAAAATAACAGGTTATATTTGGCATCAAATTAAAGATTGGTTTGCTGCTGTGGCATTTTTTTGTGCTATCTCTGTGTGACGACACACAGCAAGCTCCCCGCTCCTCCTCCTTCCTTTCACCCCTCAATAAAGCTAAGTGCTGTGGCTGTAGTCATGGTAACGGCAGAGGGCAGTGGCGGTGGGTCTCTTACTTGGGTCTCCAACGTTTCTCAGGAAGAAAAGTAATCAGAGAAGTTCTGTTTAGTATGCTGAAGCAGTAGTGGAGAAATAGAGTTGGAGAAGGAGTAAGATGTAAGTGTGGGAGATGGAGGCAGGAGGGTGGCAAAGCGATGAAAGGAGAGAAAGGCTTGGAAATAAGGGAGAAGGGGGGGAGTAGCAGGAGAAGAAGAGAAAGAGGGAGGAGAAGGAGTGGGATGCCAGGAAAGAAGAAAACAAGACACAAATAAATATCCAAAAAGAGAGACGAGGCAGTAATAGAGTGATACAGGGGCATACGGCACTGCTTAAGACGACCACAGAGCAGCGTATCACAGTAAAATGACAAAAAAAAGGACAGAGAGGTAGACAGACAGGAGAAAAACAAAAACCAGAATAGAGGCATAGGGGGGTGGAAGGTAAAACATAGTGATTCAGCCGTATTTCAGCATCCAGGAGAGACAGAGGTGTGTGTGTGAGTGTGGGGGGACGTGTAGAGTGTAGGGACCCAGTCATGCTCTTGCGTCAGACAAGTGAAGGTGAGTCATAGAGGAATTGGAGCCCCCCCCCACAACCCCATGCCTGTGTGTGTGCGTGTATATGTGCAGGGAAATAGATGCAGAGGCGTAGGATTGAAGGGGCTGTGATGACGTCATTGAATCCCCTGTTACACAATGAACCTGACAGGCGCTTCAGGAGACAGACAGGATGCCTCAAATCAAACCTTGAGCCTTTCCACACAGGCTCGGTGTGCGTGTGTGTGTGGGCGTATGGGTGCGTGGGTGGGGCTCGACTCCAACACTACAGCACATTTATTCATTTTCCCCTAAACTGATTTTATGGCCAAATGTGTAGGATGAAAGAAAATTAAGGTTTCATGCCTGACTGTTTTACGCTGCTGACACGGCCTGTAGAGGAACACGGGCAGTGAAGCAGAGCTGACAAATCTCTGAGTAATTTTTTTGGGTAGTGGGTGGTTTTTTTTCTTCAGAGACAAGTATCGACCTTGTGAAGCACCTGGAGAGGCGACAGTGAAACAGTTATCCGTGATTAAGCAAATGTGCATCAAGACAAAACTGAGAGGATGTAACACAAATTATTCAACTGCTCATTGCTCATGTACATGGCCTCATTGTACCTTTTATATCATTATTACTATATTATTATTACAAAGAAAGAGACCTCATTCACATACTGCATTGGTTACCAAGAAGTTGATGGGGCAAAGTTTTTTGCCTTTGAACTTGTTGTGAAAGTGTGCAAGCTAACCCAGTCCTATTTGTATAGTTGTGTAGAACTGATTGCAACATCACAGGGACTGAAAAGTCAAAAGTCAAAAGCAAGTAGAAACAAATAAAATGATGATCTAAAGTTTGCATGCTTACATAAGCTGAGACTTCATATCTTCTGGTTAAGAGATTATGTCATTAATGGCTCAACGAGAAAGTTTACGCAATCATCACACCACCCTACTTAGTCTCTGAGGACAACAGCCAATAATTGCTCATTTATAAAACTTACTGTAATGCACAAACTATTTGTTTTTGTTTGTTTCTTTGTCTGCAAATTCTCCCTGGATCATTATCTAGAAAAAATTTGAAACAAAGGCCCCTTAAGGTTCTTATTTATATCAGATGTTATGCTGTCCTCGTGTTGTCTAGCGACGACCTAGCAACAGTGACACTTTTTAGCATTTAAGCTCCTATAATGCAGTATTAAAGCATCCCATTGTTTTAAGTTCAAGACAATAACATCTCATTTATATCCACAAAGGCTAAATTATGCATGATATACTACAACACTATCATGTTGCTTAGCAACCACTTTGCAGTGGGCTAAAGTGACCCATTTTTTAACATTTAGACAACATCTGTTGCCCGTTTTTTACTTTTCTCAATGTGATTAAATATATCAGTAAGCAATAGCATGGACAAGCCAAACAATACTGTAGCATGAGTGCATATTAGTGAAGAGAAATTAAATAAAAGGCAAAATCATCATGCCGATTTTGCCCACATTGTTTGCTTACCTGTGTGAAAGCAAAGCCTGTTCAATCCTGGCTGGTGAATCTAACCTGTGATGCCAAAAGTCTTGCCTTTTACTTTGGATTTTGCATATGAATATGTACAAATCTTCTTTGCGAGATTAATCGAATGTTAACACAGACTTTTGCAGGCTTTTTTACTTCCTCATTGTTGTTCTAACAAAACGTCAGTATGTAGCCATTGGGAATTTTGTGACTTGACAACTGCACGTTGAAGAAGTACTACCATCATATTTCCTGCTGGGTTTTTATTCGACATGAGCACCATCACAAAAAATACTTAGCTTAAACCTACATGTCATTGGCTTTACTGTATCTGAGCTGGCCAGGAGAGAACCATCACATGTACTTAGACACAAGCGTTCTTGAGTTTTTCCATGACAGCAGAGACAACGATACGGTTCCCTGTGTAAGGTGCGAGTGGGCGGGGTTACTCACGTAAGCTCCTCCTACATCAAAATCCCATAATGCCTTCTTTTCAACGTGCAGTTGCCATGGATACCACAGCCTCTGGGAGGTCATCACAAAGAACACACATCCCTCCTCTCTGCTGTGTTTTTTCCTCGTCTTTTTGAGGCTTTCCTGGAACACTCAGACAGTGGTCGAGGTGAAATAATGCATATTTATAAGACAGAGACTGAGGGAGACAGGCAGGCGGGCTTAGAGACAGTGAAGGAAGGTGAGAACGATTGAGAGAGATTGAGGGGGAGAGAGATAAGGGAGCAGGAAAGAAGACAAAGACTGATGACGAAGCCACTGACAGCAAAGACAAAACACAGAATGAGCCGATGACAGAGAGAAATGCAGCAACTAGGCGTAGGTAAAAAAAACTTAGAAAGCATGTTTGGTCTTCAGACTG